TATGCATAGTTGCATTCATTGATGGTGCAAGCAGGGCTTCCATCAGAAATTTTGGGGCCGAGTTCGCCCACAGTGCCCACCTCAGAATCTGCCCACAAAGATGCAATGTGTCTGTGTGTAGAGTGGATGCAGAGTGTGTGTGTGCAGTGAATAGTGTTTTTGTGTAGTAGATGCAGTGTATGTGTTTATGTAGAGCAGGGGTGTCCAAAAGGTAGATCCCTAGATGTTATAGAACTACAACTCCCATGATGCTTTGCATGCCTTTAGAATGACGAAAAATCATGGAAGCTGTAGTTTTTTTAAAATGTTTTCTCATTAATGTATTAATTTTACCACCCCCCCCCCCCATAATATCTCATGCATGTGGCCTGGGAGGGAGAACATTACACTTCCTGGTGGTCAGGTGGCATTGTGCAGGCTGCCAGGTGCTGTGCAACATGATCTTCAGCTTCTGGCAGCTCCTCTCTGCAACTCTTGCGAGTCCAGTCTACGTGTCGTGCAGAGCGTTGCCACGGTAACTTGCAGCAACACTCTGACAGCTAGGGGCTCCCGAGAGTTGCAGAGAGCTTCTGAAATCTAAAGATCGCATTTGTTGGGCACTGTTATCACTATACAAGATGCAGAGTGCCTGCAGGGGCAGTGCTGGCAATAACGTAGAGAGGGCCCTGGTGCAAGATTTATTTTTTTGTTTCACCCTCTAGCACAAGGGTGGCCAAAATGTAGATCAGCATCTGTCGTACGAGTCCAGAATGCTATGCTAGCTGGGGATCTACAAGTTTCCCATTCGTGCAGGGTTGTAGTTAGCACAGAGCAGTGTTTGTGTGTTTGAATGTAAGCATGCTTTTGTATGGAGTATGCGTGTGTGATTATTTTGAATGCAGGCATGCATTTGTGTGTAGTGTATAAACTGCCACACACAGTGGCGGCTCTAGACTTTGTGAGGCCTTAGGCAAAACTCAAACATGAGGCCCCCACTAACACTCATAGTAAAAAAAATATATAGAGGTTGCATCGTGTGTGTATAATGAGCTGTAGTTATATTGAAAGGCCGGCTTGCAGTACTGGATACAGAGAGCTGGTCTCTGTATTCATTGTTCAGAGGCTTGCAGTGCCGCGGCTCCCTGGGTCGCTCTGTTGTGAGCTCTCTGACTGTACTTATGGCATAATTTGCAAACTAAATTAATTTGCAGTGATGCTGATTGTTTATACATGATTGCCATGTATGGTTGCATAGCCTGGCAGTCATGTATACAGAAGTACCGGTGTGCAGGGGTTCTTGCAAACAGAAATTAACATTTTGATTGGGTAAAAAAAAGCTTTAAAAAAAAAATCACCTACAAAATAATAAAGTTACAGGTAAGAAAACTGTCACATAGACATTTCCCCATATATTCTGTAATTCCTTAACATATATATATTATCCCATATATTATTTACATGTCTCCATTTTTTGTATATGTATGTTTATTATTATTATTATTTAATTTATATTTTATATCTTGCTATTTAACCTTTGCTTTGCCGTACCATACCACCCTCACATTGCAACCATGGACACACACACATACTAATACATGCACACATATACACACTGTTACATGCACACATATACGATACAAAACACATTAACACTCTCATACATGCACACATAAACACAGAGGCACACAGTGAAAAATGCAGACATGCAATCACAATGTGTATGTGGCTGTGTGAATTTGTGAGTGTATCTGGCATTGTCTACCTGTCTATGTGCCTGAGAGTGTGTGTCTGACAGTGAGAATCCATGTTTGTGAATGTCTCTGTGAGCATGTGTATGTTTGTTTATGGAACTGTATGTGTATGGGGTAGCTGACTGCTGTGTGTGTGTGTTTGGGGGGCTGTGACCATGACTATGTGTATGATAAATGTATTCAGGGTGTGACAGGGTGCGCAAAGGGGTAACTGTGGCAGGGTGAGGGGATTAATGAGACAGGGTTGAGCGGTGAGTGTGACATGGTTAAGGGTGGGTGAGGGGAAGAAAGTGTGACAGGATTAGAGACGTTAATGTGACAGGGTGATTGTGGCAGTGTTGGGGTAAGTGTGGCAGTGTTGGGGTGATTGTGGCATGGTTGGAGGAGGGAGTGTGACAGGGCGAGGGGAGGTGAGAGTGACAGGATTGGAGAAGTTAATGTGATAGGGTGAGTGTGGCAGGGTGAAGGGGGATGAGTTTGACAGGATTGGGGTTATGTGTTTTACAGCTGGAGGAGGGAGTGTGACAGGGCGAGGGAAGGTAAGCCTGACAGGATTATGTGACAGGGTGAGTGTGGCATGGCTGGGCAGGAAGATGTGGCAAGACTGGAGGGGTTTATGTGCAAGCGAATGAGTGTGACAGGGTTGGGGGTGAGTGTGACAGTATGAGAGAAGATGATGGTGATAGGAGTACAGGGATTAATGTGATAGGGTAAGTGTGGAAAAGCGAGGGCAGGTAATTGTGGTATGGATGGAGAGCGACAAGATTAGGAGAGGTTAATGTGAGTGTGGGTGGGTGAAGGGGGCATGACAGCATGTGGAGGGGTGACAGTGTGTGTGTTGGAGGGTGACAGTGGGTAGGTGAGAATGTGTGGAGCAGTGTTGGAATGGTGACAGTGTGTGCATGGGCAGTGTGTGGGAGTAGTGATAGTCTGTGTGTTGGTGACAGTGTGGGGGGCAGTGTTTGGGAGGTGTGACTGCATCGGTAAAAGTGTTGGTGTGACAATATGGGTGGGCAGTGTGTGGAAGGGTGACAGTGTGGAGGGAGGTGACAGTTTTGGAAGCAGGGTGTGGGTTGGTGACAGTGTGGGGGGCAGTGTGGAAGAAGGTGACAGGGTGGGGGACAGGGTGGAGGAAGGTGACAGTGGGGGGGAAGGGTGGAGGATGGTGACAGTGTTGGGGGAAGGGTGGATGCCACACACATACACACACACTGATACACAGACATGCACACAAACATACATGCAAATACACAGATACACACACTGACACATACACAGATATACATACACTGGTACATACACACGCTGACAGACAGATACATACACAGATACACACAGAGACATGGTTGGGTAAGTGTGATAGGATTTGGGGAGTAGGTGTGAGGGTGGTTAAACATGCCACAGTTAGGGAGTGAGCATGACAGGGTTGGGGGGGCAAGGTGAGTGTGATTCTTGGGGGTGGGTAAGTGTGACAGCGTTAGAGGTGGTAAGTGACTGTGGGAGGGTGTTGGTGTGACAGGGTTAGTATGACAGGATTATAGGGGGTTAGTGTGACATGGTAAGGGGAGGTTAGTGTGACAGGGCTGGGGGATTAGTGTGTCAGGGTTAGAGTGACAGGGTTAGAGGGGGTTAGTGTGAAGGGTTAGAGGGGGTTAGTGTGACAGGGTTAGTGTGAAGGGTTAGAGGGGGTTAGTGTGACAGGGTTAGTGTGACAGGGTTAGTGTGACAGGGTTAAGGGGGTTAGTGTGACAGGGTTAGAGTGACAGGGTTAGGGGGGTTAGTGTGACAGGGTTAGAGTGACAGGGTTAGAGGGGGTTAGTGTGACAGGGTTAGAGGGGGTTAGTGTGAAGGGTTAGAGGGGGTTAGTGTGACAGGGTTAGTGTGACAGGGTTAGGAGGTTAGTGTGACAGGGTAGTGTGACAGGGTTAGGGGGTTAGTGTGAAGGGTAAGAGGGGGTTAGAGTGACAGGGTTAGAGGGGGTTAGTGTGACAGGGTTAGGAGAATGTTATAGGGTATGTGGCAGAGAGAGGGGTGGTGAGTGACTAAGTGGAGAGAACGACAGTCTCCTCACACTGGCTAAAACAGCATTTTTAGTATATATATTCTTTAGTATATATCTATATGTATATATATTTGCCCCCTGTGCTTACTTCCTGTGCAGGAAGTGGGGGCAATAATTCATTCCATGGTGGTTCAGTGGAAGCATCCGAATGTCCGAATTGCCGAAATTCGGCTGAATTTAAATTCGTACCGAAACAAATTGCACGTTGTAACGGATCACTTGGCACCCCGACTGGGTACCTCCGTTGAAGGATGCTCCTAGCGCTTCCTGAGGACTCCAAGCACTGCAGCAGACACCACAACCACCGAACCGGAGAAGCATATGAATGCTCTCAAGCATATGAATGCTGTAAGCAGCTGAACAGGAAAAGCATACAATCAGCTTACACTCCTGGCAATCAGCATACAATCCAATTCCCCCAATAACGAGACGACACTTCGTTTTGAGGTCAAGCAGAACTGACTGTACTGGCACATACAGCCTCTTTTATTCACAATCCACAAACATAGTACTGCCCACAGGGTTTTGAAATACAACCAATCAATCCATACAATACACACAGACACTCCCACACAAAATCCTCCCCTCTGCCTGTGATATGATTACTGAACACAATGGTTAATATAATTATCACAGGCAGAGAAATACAGTATTATAAAACATATCACAGGGACACCAAAACATGCAATAACCCCATAAAAAAGTATATCTTTGGAACAGGGGGATCTGGGTGAACCACATATCCAAAATTCACCCAGTTCCGTTCAGTAGTGTGGAAGATGCAGTTTAATGCAGATTCCGCAGAACATATACAGGCTATATGAAAAATAATTACTGAATAATGTGTCCCCTGTTGTATAGTTTAAAACTACTGAACGATGTCTTCGTGCACCAAATACTGGCAAGATGGCACCGTGTAGAAAAGTCCAAACAGTGTCTGTGAGTTAAAATGGCCGCCATCCATTGTTCTCACCATGTGCTTCATCCATTGTTCTCACCATGTGCCTCTGATACATGAAATGGTGGCCACCCAGTAACTCCACAGTATGTCCCCAGATGGTTCTTAAAGGGCCAGCAGCAGCATAATAAAATACAATATGCCCAAATACTGTATTTAAAGGGTGAAATTTCCCAGGGGCCATAGTCAGCAGGCAGGAGGTGGGCAAACTCATAAATATGAGTTAATGTTACATTTATTAGTAATATTTAGAAGTTTTAATATAATTGTGCAAACTCTAATAGGGAAATAGAGGACTTAGGTGTCAAGATCTATCTTGGGATGTTGGATATTAATACAAATTTAATCCAATGCCCAGTGGCGAGGTTGGTTTCGCCACACACGTCTAGTTACATCCTGAGCTGCTTCTGTGTTTTTTTACTTTGTACCAAATTACAGAGAATGGATCACATGATATGGGGAGGGGCTGGAGGAGGCATTAGAAGGAAGCAAGTTGAAATGTGGAGGGAGAGTGGAGGGATAAGATCAAATAGGGAGGGGGATAAAATGACATGGGGAAAAGGGAGAGAATGTTGGATAAGATGACACGAGGACGTTCATAGAGACATGCCTTATCTTCTCTACATCGCTTTGTTTCTGTGCACTCAGTGAATTGTGTTTCCTTACCTTAGCTACCCCCTTAATTCTGTATTGCGCTTCTATCATTCACATTTGTTGAATATTCTATAATATATTTTTACGCTTGTATCAGTTGATACTTAGAACTTACAGTGTGTGTTCATTGAGGCACATACATATATCATCCACATATAAGCCTCACCCTTCTGTCAGTCCCTACATTGGCTTCCTATAAAATATAGAGCTCAATTTAAAATTCTGGTTCTTGCTTTCAAATCTCTACAATGCTGCTCCCACCTATCTATCCTCCCTTATACACAAGTATGTCCCGTCTAGGCCCTTACGATCTGCTGAAGATTTACGTCTATCTTCTGTCCGTACTCCCACCTCTGATGCTCGCCTTCCAGATTTCTCGAGGGCTGCACCGTTCTTGTGGAACTTGCTTCCCTCCTCCGTTAGATGCTCGCCCAGTTTCCACTCCTTCAAAAAATCGTTAAAAACCCACTTCTTCATAAAAGCATATCAATTAAACTGTTAATAGCTCCTGACTGATTCCTCTTCTGCAACTGTCACTAGTCTAATACTATCCTTACCGTTTTGTGTAATTTTACCCCACTCCCTCTAGCATGTAAGCTCATTGAGCAAGGCCCTTAACCCCTCTGTTCCTGTGTGTCCAACTTGTCTGGTTACAACTACATGTCTGTTCGTCCACCCATTGTAAAGCGCTGCGGAATTTGACGGCGCTCTATAAATATCATAATAATAATAATAATAATAATAATAATCATGTCCAGAGGTTAGTACACCAGCAATATAATGACAGGCCTGGTGCATTGCATAGAGCCATAAAACAAACATAACGTTGAGGTGAGCAGCCCAACATACTGGGGCACCCAGAGCATGTTCTTCTAGGAAATATTGTTTAACTTAAGGCCAAAAGGAATTTATTGTCACACGATCTTATTTCCATAGTTGGTTGCATTTTTAGCAGCCACGTAATGTAAAAAACATGTTACAAGTAATTAAGTCCCTAATTCAACAATCAAAACATACTGACTGTCTGACATAATTTGTATCTTTATACAATCTGAGATGGCTTCTGTCAGACGCCAGTTCACTCCTCCTGATCAAACCAATAATTTACCAATTATTAATTAATAAAAATCAAGATGAGACATAAATATGAGTTAATGTTACATTTATTAGTTATATTTAGCAGTTTTAATATAATTGTGCAAACTCTAATAGAGGACTTAGGTGTCAAGATCTATCTTGGGATGTTGGATATTAATACAAATTTGGCCAGGTAACAGCCAAGATGTGGGTGACCTCTGGACTCACGAAGAGTCATCCTTCAGCACTCAGGAAAGGAAAAACCTCCTGTGGAGGAAACCTCTGGGGAACCATGGCTGGAAGGACTGCCCTTCCCTCTGGGCATTAAGAGGCAAATACAGAGAATTCAGTAGATGAAGGGCTTAGTCTTTTATAAATTATATAACTTGGTGGAGAGACAGAAAGACAGGCAGAAACACAGACTGACATAGAGAGAAAAACAGACAGATATATATAGACGGATTACTAAAGCAGACTAAACAGAGATTGATACATACCGATAGCTGGAAAAAAGTTGCTCATTAAGTAATCCCCTCCCTGCCCTATTTGCAATCCGCCCAATCCCTTGATGAAGCACCAATATTTGATAATGGGTATACGAGTAGCTGCACGGAATACAACGCCCCCTGCTAGAACCTCCATTGCTAAGATTAGATTGAGGATAGTCAAGCTCCAAGTCTTCAGACACATCCAAGTGAGGCAGAGATCTCTAAGCCATTGAGAAGGTACGAGAACCATGAATATAGGTGAAGCTCTGTCAGGGTCTCAGTTATAACTGGAAAGGAATAGAATGTTCAAGCAGTTACAGCAGCAATTATGTTTATGACATCACAGCATGACATCACCTATTATGATCTCACTGCTAATGATCACAGCTCCTGGGGGAGACGATTACTTCTATTAAAATAAATGGGAACTATGATAAAAATGTAAAAGGAGTCTTTACAAACAGTATAAAACTAAACTTTGTAATCCTTTCCTTTTGCATCTTTTGTCCCTCTTAGATATTCCATTTTTATTGGTATATCTGCTTGTATCTGTTTTAAACATTGTATTATCTCTATTCATTTGTCATCCTGGACCTGTTTTTTTTCTCCTCTTTTTTCCACCTCCACCCCCATACAGTCATTCACACATTATAATCCCCCTATTATATAATCCCCCTATTACCCGTTCTCAAAAAAGTATATTCTGAAATTCATAGTGAGTTCAGGAAATTGCAAAAGTTAGAAAATCTATGTTTAGAGTACATTGTGAATGGCTATTAATTAACAGAAATTCGCAATGTAGTGAATAAACTCCTTCCACTGGATTCAGATTGATTTTCTCTCTCTGTCTCTATTTTTCTTTATTCTGAGCAGAGCCGGATAGTCACAGGTCCCAGTATATCCCGGTATATCACGACAGCCATTGATTCGTTTACATTCTACATTAAGCTGCAGAGGTTTTCATGCTGAGTGATTGAAAATGAGGACATTGTAGATCCCACAAATGCCCATGTTTAGATCAATCACATTCACTGATTTAAAGTTAACGTAATGTTGAGTATTCGTGTTAGGATGATGTGTAGCTTGCCGCAGTCATTTTAACTGCCCTTCACTAATTCACTGAATTAGCACATTGTTGAAATTAGCTTTGCAATATTTATTGAAAGTTTCATTTTAATCGTGTTCTCTGGAAAACATTTAGGCAATATATTAAAAGACTCGTTTTTTTGTGTGTTTTAAAAAATAAACACTTGTTCCTTTCATTTCAGATTTCAAAACAGCCAGCCAAGCGGTCAGTGTAACCACTCAGAAAATACTTATAATGGCAGAAATCCAACTAATCAGGCCAAAATGCCTTCTGTCTAAACGTCACTACCTATTTGTCAACACCCCAAAGCATCTGTCGCCCATCAATCTTATGTTTCAGAATATTGACGCTAGTTTACATTTCAACTGTATGAGCTCTCAACATAGAATTCATAACTGAAAAGTCTGAGTTGTAACGATTTATTATTTTCACATGAAGTAGATATTAAAATTTTCCCAAAACATCTGCCTGCATTAGAGCAATGCATTGTAAGACGTTAATTGTTTGATAACTTCACACCTCAATAACGCAAAATATTCAGCACCATAATTTTAGTCAAATGATTACTAGTACAGTTGGTATAACAAGTGAGCATATACCTTACAAATTTCCCTATGGCATGAGAAAGTCCATATTTTGAGCCCCAAACTCCCCACACCTATTCTTTTAGACTTCTTCTAAATTACATTTTCACTTAAAGGGATTCTTTAAGTTCAAAGCAACTTTAGCTTAAAGGAAGACACTAGCAATATAAACCTGTATTTAATGCTACAGTGCCCCTGTCCGTAGTTTTTGCTACGCATAAGAGTACAAACAGTCTTGTCAAGCCTCAACAGCAGATAACAAGCTATTCAAAAGTCAGAGGTTTTATGGTGTAAGGCATTAAAAGAAACATGCACAATTTTCATAGTTATAGAGCAGGCGAAATAACAGGTAGAGTAAAAGAATAAAAAGTACAGTAACATTTCCACGGCATGCTCCCTGATCAGTATAGGTCCGATGCTAGACTGAGGTGCTTCAGCAATCAGTTAGATGAACTATAACGCATTATTGGGCGGTAACAGGCTAGCTAAGCACGGTTACTTGATTCGGTTAGATAGGGTACACAGTGTTAAGCGTAAGCACTAGACATGGTGCTGGTTGGAGTCGCTGATATTATACCTCTGGGATCAGTATCATTATGGTACTGTACCACATCAATAGTAGGTCATATAATGTTAGATAGAAATAAAAGAAGGAAAAGAGAAATCATATTATAAAAACATATAACTTGCTTCTCTTGTTACCAGGGAGGGGTATGCTCAGGTGGCTGTCCCAGAAGCACTGTCAAAAGCAAAACTGCTGCATTGCCTGGGCAGGTATTGCACCGGAGCAGGATGCCTCCTCGGCCCAAGGGCCGGCATCATTATACCACAGATTTGGGTTTGTTGAGGAACCAAGTCTATCCCCTTCGGGGGGAGGGTAAAGGAGGTGATTGGCAATATTCGCTGTTTATAGATGATCCTCTGCCCGCGTAGACGATGCCTGGAGGCATTGCCTCGGATGGCTTTCAGCCTTGGTGAGTGACAGTAAGGTAGTGGAAGCTTCATCTTGGGTCTTGTGCTCTGAGGAGGCTTCACGGTGCTCGGCTACCCATTTCTCCAGTTTCCCTTCTGCAGTACAGGCTTGTGGGTTGTGGTGTCTGTGTTACGTGCTTGTATAGTCAGCCAGAAGTTCTTAAAGATCTGATCTAGCCGCCACAGGGAGTAGGCAGTAGAGTCCCTAAAGTCCCTCTTGGTTGCATTCGGGCCATGTGCATTTGAGCAAACGGTGTCTGTCATCTTGGGATGTTAGAGTGCAATGCGATATCTGCTCAATTTGGAAAGTAAAACTGATATAGCTGACTACTCTCCAAAGAGAACCGGGATAACACCCGCTGGTCCAGGGGGAAGAGGAGAGTCGCGTCGAGTCGCATGATTCAGAGGGAGGAAAGTGACCATCTCTCCTCCACTCCATCTCCAGTAGGCCGCAGTCTGCCACCACAGTTCTCGGTGCCTCAAGGCAATTAAAGTGTCAAAAGAGAGTCACCTTGGGTTGAAGTTGAGGTCTCCGACTCGTTAGTCAGGAATATCACTGGGTAAACAGCATTGGCAGCAGGATCTAATGCAATACACGTCTTGCCAGCTTGCAGCCTAAGCTCCGCCCCTCCTACTCACCTTTTTCTAGCGCAGAGACTCTCTAGACGCTGCTCACCTCCCACCGCAGCATGGGCGCGTTGAATTTTTAAACATTGCAGTGTCTAAAGTTTCATTGACATGAAGTGGTCTGGGTAACTTTAGTTTTGGTGTGTAGCCTATCACACTGCAGTCTCATTACTTAATTTCCTGCCACTAAGGATTTAAATCAGTTGTTCATACAGGCTTAGCCACACCTCCCTTGACTGTGACTCACACAGCCTTCCTACACACTTCATGAAGATAATATTTTACCTCCTTTATTGCACAATGAGTTCAACTTAGAATTTCTTTGTCATACTCTGTTTATAGTCTGCTAGAACTTGCAACAGTCTCCTCTAGTCCTTTGTGTGCGTGTCTATGAGGAAAGTTCAGTGTCTCCATGCAGAGGGTGGAGACACAGAATGTCAGTGCATCGCCACCATAACCAAATTACAGCCTTAGTCGTCTGTCAGTTACTTTCTATCAATGATTGTCTGACAATGTTTCCCTTCCTTAAGTTTAATTAATGGGGGTTCTGTGGCCCTTTGCTCATTTTGTTAAATCCAAGAAGCCCACAATTCAGACAAATCATAGTTGTAAGTCCAGACTTTGCCTTATCAGAACCAGAGTGTGATATAATTTGCTAAATCATTAATATAAATTGAAAAGAAAATGGAGCATTTGATGGAAAATATATTAACACAATTTAAAGGTGATTTTCATGTTTTTTCTCCATGGTATAATTTCTGAACATGTGACAGCTAATCGATTAATTAATGGAAACCTATTTAGGGTGAAATATTTCCAGGCTAACAGGTTGGCGGTAGTATAAGAGATTGTCCTTACACTTCTTTATCTACATATTCATCATTACGAGTATTAAATGCAGAGATATGGCAGATGAGGAAGATTTCCTGCTACTCGTATTTTAATACAGAGATTATTATACGGTTGTCGATTTTTCCATAGCTGCAGCTGTTCTTTATGAACTTCATGACATTTTGTCAGCTGTTTTCTCTGATTAAAAAAGTTGTGTTTAAAATAAACTTTCATGACATAAATAATAGGAAACAGGCAGGCATATAAAGCATTGTTCAATATTACACCATGAATAATGCTCCTCGCACCAATTGCAATAACAAATCAAAACATTGCTAACAATGTATTTATTATCACATGTCAAAGATAACGTTTCCTAGTGGCAACATCTGTAAAGAACAAGCCTAGAACATCGCATCCTTCGTGTGTTGAAAAAAAATCAACTTCATACTGTAGGGTGTAGGCATTCGTTCAATTTAAAGGGACTTTTCAGTTCCCGGGATTTTTAATGTTATTTTTTACTTATTCCCTATATTTAACAAATGTGCATTTGCATGATATGAAAAATAAAATGAAACATAGAAATCCATGCCAGTCTATTTAGCTCTATCCAGAAACTGGGCACCTCCATCTTTGCTTCCTGTCAATCATTATTATACATTCTATGTCTTTGAACACGTTATGTGGGGGGTGGGAAAAATGAAACAATGTTTTTGCTCTTTTTATCTTTCTCCTTTAATGCACTGATATGACCAAGGATTTGTAGGGTGCACACCTATGGTTACTTTTTTTCTTCTTGTTATTAAAACCAGCCTTTTTGATACTGTGTTGGGCAGTCAATGTTAGGGACAGTTTTATTACAGTTTGGGAGACTCAGCTGGCATTGGTACCAACATTTCTGTGTATTCACAGTCTCTCAGGTTGCTCTTAACTCTACATGATGGAGTTCACATAAATTTCATAAGGGCAATCAGGCCTCAATCACAATATATTCTTTGATAATAACCTACACTGTAACAGATACAGATGAACAGTAACAATGTCAACATTATCTGCACCCCACTACTCTGATAGTTGTGACACTTTGTGTTAGAGGACCACTAATGTCACCCAGGCATCTTCATCTCAGGTCCGATGTGTCGAGGCATGAACTCCACGAGACCTCTAAATATGTCCTGTGGTATCTAGCACCAAGTTGCGCACTTGAGCCATCATGGGTCGCATTTGTTATTCCAGCAAATCTCACAGTTACTCAATAGGATTGAGATCTAGAGAATTTGAAGGCCACGGCA